GGTTTATAAATAGGACATGTGGAAGTGGATGATATTATGTAAAACACTTCCTTAGATAACAGAAACTTTTTTTTTTATGCTGGAAGAAAAATAATAATTCTGAAAATAGCACATGCAGTATCTCCTCTTGAGGACTCCAATCCTCCCTCCTCGGGTATTATAAGTGATCCCTCACCTTTTTCATAGTGTTTTTACTCTTCTGCCTTCTGGAGGATGGCAAAAAAAATAAAAACACTTTGAAATGGGTGAGAGGGGTCACTTATAATACATGAGGAGGGAGGATTGGAGTCCTCAAGAGGAGATAATGCTGTGCTATTTCAAGATTTTTCTTTATAGTGTGAGTCCTTGTAATATAAATAACAATCTCTTTAGTCTATTTTCAATGTTTAAAAGGCAGATTATTATCTCTTTTATGTGTCCTTTTGTAACTAATTTCAATTTAGAAATCATAGCCGCCCTTACAGATATATCAGCAATTTGTTAACCAGATTGCACTATTTGAACGAAGCATGATTGAGCATTATCTTTTCTTTCTGTACTGAAATTGCAAATATCATTATAAAAAAGGCATTTACCACTCAGGGATGCACTTTAAACAGTAAAAATATTTATTTTTTTGATAACGAAAAAATATTTGTTTCATCTATATTACATTTTCAGATGCTGGTTCATGATTTAAACAGAAGGGGGCGCAGTTTCCCTAAAAATAGCGAGTGGGGGAAACGTAGCGTTCTGAGTGAATATTTAGGTTATGTTCTGGTAAGAAAATATTTATTGAAAGATGAAATGGTTAATATTTATCTATTTACAGTCCAAATACTTGCTATATGGTCATGGGGTCGCCGTGATTTTGCCAAGTAAGACATGTTCCTGACCTGGATCAACATCTTTTGTTGATCCTGGATCAACATAACTGTCCATAAATATAGACTTAACCCAACCTACCCCTAACCCTACCCATAATTTATTCCTAAAATCAATGTGAAATGATAACTGATTAACAATGGTGTAGAAGCACCTAACCCTGATTGTAAGCCTAAAACAGATATTTCCTGAAAAGTTATCCCTCAATTCTGATTGGTTGATAGGAATGTTGTTCCAGGATCTACAAGGATGTTGATCCAGGAACATGTTGTACTTGGAGAAAAATAATGTTCACCATGGTCATGTCCAGTAAATGTACCGCTCAGAGCACAGAACTATTTGAGAGTTTGTTTGTATAATGAAGCAGAAATGATTAGCACTGTCATCACTTTCTTTTGCATTTACAGTTGCCTGTGGTGCAGTTTGTGCCTGGAAATCAGCTGCTCAAACATAATAAATAAAGCATCTAACACACCATGGAAAAGTAAATTCAGGCTGTTTAATTATATTGGATGATAACCGTTGGATTAGCCTATGTTTGTTGATGTTATGATATTGTGTTACAGTAGATTGGCAGAGCTGCAAAGTTGCAGTGAGCTTCCTAGCCACACAGCGTGATTACCATCATAGGCGTGTTTCTGATATCTCTGGTCTAAAAAGTTACTAGTAACTAAAAAATAACTACTAGTTCTAATTTTTCTAAACAAGTAAAGTATAATTAAGTACTAGTCACTATTGGAATAAGTACTAGTATCTAATGAAAACGTACTAGTATCTAATGATTAAGTACTAGTAACTTTACAAAAGACACTAGTACCTAAAGAATAAGCACTAGTAGTTAATGAGTAAGTACTAGTACTTAATGGAAAAGATACTAGTATCTAAAAAATAAGTACTAGTAATGTTAAATTAGCTACTAGTGCGGTTTATAGATTAAATGTTAAAACGGCTTGCCATAGCCGTAGAGGTGTTTCGTCCGTGAACAAATCTGTATTTTTGAACGAATCTTTTGAGTGAACGAATTCAACTGATTCATATTTGTCGATCTTTTCTTTTGAACGAATCACTGAGCAAATCTAAACGACTCGGAGCGGCACTGAAGCCATCTCTATAACGACTTGGGGCATCTCGTTTTTTTTTTTTTAACGAACAAAACACCTGAGGGGAAGAATTATGAATGTTTAAACAATGACTGGTGACCAATTTAAATTAACATAAAGACTTTGAAAATCTTAAATGTGTGGTATGTTATCTTACAAGAGTTGACCATTGAAGGGAAACGCGTTTGATGCTTAAACTGTCTCTTAAATTTGTAAACACGCAAATGGCCACTAAACAAATCTATTTGGTCAAAGATTCAAAAGAATCGAGTCACTGAATCAAAATCCCCACCTGAGTAAGCAGCTCACTGCTTTTGAAGCACAGCCACTTGCAACCATGGACCTACAGGTGGGTGGGGCTGAACGTAATTATTATTACGTCATGGCAACTGGCTCCCACTACACACAGCCCATTAAACATGTATTTCTTATCTAGGGTAGACCGCTTTAAACACTACCGAGAAGCTGTCAGTCTGACGGAGGGCGGTTTCGTTATATGTGAGCCGAGGTTTGTGAGGTTGAGTGATTGGTAAATGGAGGAGTCCTTCCAAGAAGCGCGCTAGAAAGCGATGCCACCGGTTTGTCTCCGACTAGAACTTGTTTGGGGGGTTGTAGCATAGACTGTATAAAACAGGTTTGTAGTCAATTTTATTTGATCGCTGAGCAAATCAATCAGCAGCGGAGGTGAAGACGCCGGGGTGCTTTCTGCTGTGAGTATAAGCGATTGATTTAAAAAAAAAAATTTATAGGGTGCTAGTTGTTATGCATCTTGATTATTTTCTAATACTTTTGTGTTTGTTTGTCTGAAGTAATTGTAAATTACACATGCGAATTTAATGTTTAAAACATTTCTGCTTACTAACCGCATCTCGCTCTAACCCACTCATCCGTCTGTCATTTTCATTATACCATTTTTTGACTGATACTATGCTGTGACAGTTATGTGCTACAGATATAAACTATTTCAGAGCTCTCTCTCTCTCTCTCTCACTCTCTCTCTCTCTCTCTCTCTCTCTCTCTCTCTGTGTGCAATGTGATTTTTTACACTTTATCAGAGTTATGTTGCATTTAAAATGTCATGTCGGTTCATTGTGCTGTCTTTAAGTGTTTGCTGATTGTGTTACAGTTCTGTGTTTGTGTCTCTGTTCATGGTTGCTTCTATGTGTGTCCTTTTTCCTCATAGCTTCTGTCATATAGGCTCATCCCAGCTTGTCTGTGTTGTGAGCTCAGGCGGACCGCCCCTCCACCCACCTCAAGATGCACATGAATAACTTATTAAACCAGTGCAGTAAGTAATGCTTAGGAATTAATCAATGTTTTGCGATTACATGAAACAGCTAGATTTCCATAAAGACATGCTGCTATACACCTGCATGTGTAACGAAGAACGTTTTCTGTGTTACTTTTGCTCTGCTTAAAGCATTAGGTGATATTAGAATTGAATAAGAGATGTCTGGCTCATTAGAGAGGTTTTAGAATGTGCACTTGACATTTCTCATCTCAGTATGGCTGGGAATAAGTTAGTGGATTCACATTGAGCATGTCATGAAGAGAAGCATGGGGAATGGATGTTCATAGATCATCTAGTGATTTGTTCTTGGTCTTGTGGATCTTGTGGTCAAGGTTCATATTATTTAGTGTTTTGATGTTGTCTCAGACAAGGTCATTGTGTATTTCCATCTATAAAAATATGGAAAATTAAAGTAGTTTTTAGTTTGTCCCATACAGAGTCCATAGTTAAAATATGATTATTGTTTCTGGTATTGTGTTCTCTTTCCTCTTGATGGATATTAGTCCACTATTTTTTGTTCATGAGGGTGTATGTCGTTCAGTCTGTTCCCTCGTGTTGACGTAGCTGAAATCCTCCCTGCCCTTTGGTGTGAGACAGGAAAACATAGCTTTCCTCCCTCCATCTCCTTCCAAAAGACACTGCCCAGTCCTGTCTCTCTCATATAAAACAGCACAAGACTTTCTAAAAATAATAGCTCAAAAGTACTTCCTTTTTCCACATATACTGTCGTATTTGTCTTTATACTATTTCACAAGTGCATCATAGATGTTGATGTTTGTTGAGCACAGACTTGTGAAACACAAAAATGTAATGTCAAAAGTCAAAGTTGAGGGTGGATTTAAAAAAGAAGAAAACCTTAGAAGATAAGATGATTTCAGGAAGTGCCTGATGTTTATGTTGATCAAACATTGAGATGTGCTTGGAGTCCAGTTGCATGCATGGCATAAGAAATATCTGATTAGTGACTGATTCCTTCTGATAAAATAAAAGCGGTGCTCAAATTACAACCAGATATGCAGTGATTTTAAAATACAACGGCAGCAATTACACATATATTGTCGTTCAAATGTTTCTGTACAGTAATTTTTTAAAGAAAATGATACTTTTATTTAGCATGGGTGTATTAAATTGCGACAGATAAAGACTTTTACTTTTACTTTTGAACATTCTATTTATCAAAGAATCCTGAAAAAAAGTATAATGGTTTCCTCAAAAATATTAATCAGCACAGCGGTTTTCAACATTAATAATAATAAGAAATTAATAATAATAAAAAATCATTAATAATAATAATAATTTCTTGAGCACTAGATCAGCATATGAGAATGATTTCTGAAAGATCATGCGATACTGGAGTAATGGATGCTGAAAATTCAGCTTTCATCATAGGAATAAATGACATGTTAAAATATATTTAAATAGACAACAGCTGTTTTAAATTGTAATAACATTTCCAAATATTGCTGTTTTTGATCAAATAAATGCAGACTTAATGAGCATAAGAGACTTGAATTGAAAAACATTAAAAAAAAAATCTTACCAACTCCAAACTGTTAAACAATAGTGTATATATAATATTACAGTGCTGTTCAATATACTGTATCTAATTATCAGGGTTCAGAATATCTGATATCTAGTCATTTAGTTTTAGTATATTTTTAGTGTCTGTTTTGCAAAGAAGCAAAGTCATTCTTCCCGTATCATGTCTATTTTTACTTGCACAGAAGCTGAGCCTTTCCATGCTTTTGCTTTGACATGAAATATCACTGACATATGAGTTCAGCAGATATTAATTTCACTGGATCACAGTTATATTGTCACTGTTTGCAATTGCAGCCTATTAGGCGCAAATCATTTGTGACAAAGCAGTCTCTGCAGAGTCATTGTTAGAAAACTAGATTTCTCCTGCTGTTCCTTTGATCGATTTTTCCCAGACAGTTGGGCTCCAGTCTTAACAAACTCATTACAACTAGCCATCACAGCTAAATAGCTTTAAAAAATTTAGTTTGTGCATGCACGCATGTGAATTTGATCAATTCAATATGCTGTGTTTGGACGTGCAGGAACCAGTGCTTCCAAAACTGTAAGAAAAGACAGGCAAGAGATGGAAAAGAGAAAGACTTCAGCAAGACTTTTGATATGGTGTGGTATGACACTGTGCTGAATGTTGTTTTGTGTAGAGAAAGAGAGTGGGAGAGAATGTGAGGGGGAGATCTCTGGAGCGATGCCAAAGCTGTCTCTTCTCTAACAGATCCAGTTTGGAGCAGACTACAGCTTCTGCCCCTGCAGTTCACACCAATCCCAGCAGCCACATGAGAAACCATGTGCAGAGAGAGAGAGAGAGAGAGAGAGAACTTGTCATGATGTGGATAAAAAGAATGCAAAAAAAACCAACAAATGCTTGTCGTGCAGATGCTTATTATAGTGTAAGTGGTGTGAATTTCATGACTTAAACATGTGATGATCACTGTCTCATCTATGTTCTGGCCTGGACTTTTCTGAGCATGTTCAGGACTTGGTGTCATGCCACTTCTCTTGCTACTGCCTCCTTAGGTAGAATAGCTTTTGCTGTTATATTCCTCCTCACTTGCTGATGCTGACATGCAGTCAAACTGTAAATGTAATATGGTAGATCTGTGGTAGATCTGCACTCCTGTACTAAAATGCTTTTCTCTTATCAGTTTATAAAAGAAGCCCAATAGCAATAAAGGGTTCTGATCTTTACTTATAACTTTACATTAACATTGATAATAATCATTGACCTTTACTTATATTCTATCCTCAAAAGAAAAATAAGATCAGTGTTGTCATTGTTAATACTAAAACTAAAACATAAAAATAAACTGTTTTTGTTAGTTGAAATGAAGATGAAATAAAATATAAATATTAGAAGAACACTTTAAATTAAAATTAGAAATGTCTTAGCAACTAAATACCAAGTTCTGTCATGAAACTCTAGATGGCGCAGGCTGATGGGTCGTTAACGCAAACTGATGATATTCACAGCGTAATCAGTGAGTCACATCAACTATGGAGTGTTTACCTGATGCAAAGAACAGATCTGTGACCATTGCAGAGGAGAGTCATAATGCGAATTAACTCCATGTTTCTGCCTGCTGCATTATCATACATTTTAGATAAAAATAATTCTCGTATTTGTGCTTATATAAGATCTGAAGCAGTGGTTTTAACCAGTGGTTTTTGTAGTTAATTTACTAGGCAGAAAATAAAAGAGAATTTTATTTGCTTGTTTGAAGTTTTATGAGAGATATATATATATATATATATATATAAAAAAAAATTAATAAAAAATTATCTATAGTATTTCAGAGTCATTTATATCTTCTACTTACTTATTAGTTCTGCATACTGATGTGTCAGTCTTCCTGTAAAAGTTGAGGGTTGATTTCCTCTTGTGTACATGTGAAGTCAGGTTGCAGCCTCATGACGGCATCCTCTGACGTGCTGCGCACTGTGTAAACTTAAAGTCATTGTCTCTCTTTGACCCGCATATTTCACAAACCCTGAGTCTCCTCTACAGTGCCAGATGTCAGCTGCCACTTAGGTTTCCTCTGAGAGTAAGTGGGAGGTTGAGTCCACTTTCATTGGTGAATTTTATCACTGCAATGTTAACTTGTGGTTTTGTCTAAAACTAAATCAGCGTGCATGTTTGAGTTCTAATTGAGATGTCAACTCTGTTGGCCAGCATGGTTTTTTTTTTCTTCTTCTCGTAAATCAGCATGTTGTAGGATGGTGCATCATTTTGTACCTTGGTGCAATAACCAGAACATGCCAAAGTTCTGTTTCTATTATTTATTATTATTGTTTTCAAAATGTATCATGTACTCAAGCTTCAATGGAGGTCAAATGTTGTTTTGAAAGCTGTTACTCTGTAAGCATGCTCAAATACGTTCAGTGAGTGAATTTTGAATTTTGGAGGTTCCTCGTGTAATCTTTTATTTATCGTTCTAGAAATAAATACAGAAAACACTAGATGAAAAAGACTTTGAGTGAAACAGAGTCCTGTCAGGATTGCACTCTAAGCGTTTAGCTTTTTAGTGAGGTTGTAAAACTGAAAGGGCTGCGATTGTGCGTCTGCTGCTGGAAACACAAAGACGTGTGCGCATGTGTGCGCTCTACCCATGATGAATACTGCTAGATGATTCCCGCTTAAGTGATGGCGGTTTGTGCAAGCGTACCACTCTGTGCTGTTCCCAGGTAGCATCATTGGCCTGTGATGAAAGTCCTTATTGACTTCAACGTCCTGCTTTATTCTCAGTGTCTCCCCAACATGGAAACACTGATGCATTAAGTTGCAAACACAGGTCTAGACTCCAGATACTACTTGCACAAAGCGTAAACTGACAGTAGATTGTGGGTTATTAGATATTACACAGTGATGACACACATCACATAAAGTTAAAGATTACTGTTTTACTAGAGTTATGCTGTATGGTCAGTTTTTTTCCAGAGGCTGAATTTGTGCCGTTTTTCAACTTACTGCTCAGCCTCTTAAGAAAACCACAGTATTGTGAGACAATGTTTTTTCCATGTTGCAAATATCCTGTGTGGGTTTAGATTTCAGACGCCCACCATATACACAAGTACACTACTGTTCAAATGTTTGTGGTTGGTAAGAATTTTAAATGTTTTTGAAAGACGTCTCCTGTGCTCATCAAGACTTTATTTATTTGATCAAAATACAGTAAAAAAAACAGTAATATTGTGAAATATTATTACAATTTAAAATAACTGTTTTTTTTTATATTTTAAAATGTAATTTAGTTATTTTCAGTGTCACATGATCCTTCAGAATTCATTCTAATACTGTATGCTGTTTTGGTGTTCAGGAAACATGTCTTATTATTATCAGTGTTGTTGCTTAATATTTTTGTGAAATTTACAATATTTTTCAGGATTCTTTGATGAATTGAAAGTTCAAAAGAAGGGCATTTAGAAATGTTTACTTTAAACATTATAAATATCTTTACTTTTGAACAATTTATTGCTGTCTTGGTAAATAAATGTATTTGTCTTTAAAAAAAAATCTCACTGACCCCAAACTTTTAAATGGTAGTGTATATTGTAGGGATGTAACAATTCAATAAACTCACGATGCAATGCGATTCACAATACTGACTTCACAATTTTTTAACAAAATGAGATTTAAGATAAAGTATAAATGAAAAGGTGTCCTTTTATTATTTCTCAGACAAAATGCTGCACATTTCTTTGTGAAATTGAAATATGTCACATAACAAAACTAAATTTAAATTTTAAAACAAATCCCAAATCAAATAAATAAATGATACTTAAATAAAAGAAATCTCTTCATATAAACAAAGTCTTTGCCTGTGCTCTTTTCATTTAAAATTAGAGGCAAACACTGCATTTTAATCACGATCCAAACAAAGATGCTGCATAGATGCAGCAAGAGCAGTTTTTGATTTAAATTAGATTGCTTACTATAATTTTGAAATCTGAAGCAAAAACAGAATAGGCTGACTTTAGCTTTGTGAAACTAAATATACTACATAAAAACATCTGCACGAAACAGAAACAGCAGATAGGCTGAATGAAAACGCAGATTCACTCTGACAGTAGGTGGCGCTTATGGAACAGCAGCAATGTAGCGTTTCCTTGGTTACCACTGTAAACAAAGCAGATAAACACTACTTTAATATGCATTATACAGAGGCAAGATGAAAAGAAAATACCATCTAAACTTTTCTGAAGACAGTCAGTTCCCCTCAGAGATACATTCATATAAACCCCACCCCCAACTGTATCGCGATTCGTTAACATCTCAACCGACTTGAGTCGTCACATATTTTTAATCGATTTTTAACCGGTTCCATCCATAGTATATGGACTCTTTTCACAAGACTGTGATGACGCGTTTAACGGTCCATAGCATCGTAAATCCTCGAAAGTTTTTCATATTTGTATTTTTAAAATTTATGTACATTTATAACACTATTCTTTGTATTATATCACTTTTGCATCAAATTATAAAAAAACAGTTAACGCTAATCCGAGGGATGGTAAATTTGACATCGTTCTCTTTTCTGACTGCCGTTATCAGTCTCTCTCAATTTTTTTCCTTTTTTTGAAAGTCATGAAAACACTATCATTGAGTTTTTCTTTTGCTATTTGAGCAAATGGGAATGCAAAAATATATTTGTGGTACTCTCCCATTCACTGCTCTTCAAGTTAACCCAACTATGACGACTTCCGCTGCCGAGAAAGCCAAAAATGTGGAAAAAGGTCCATTCAGAATCAGAAAGAGCTTTAATGCCAGGTATGTTTACACATATGAGGAATTTGTTATGGTGACAGAAGTTTCCACAGCACAAACAGAATGACAGTGACAAGACACCGATAATAAAAATAGAATAAGTAATAGGAAATAGCAATATACAACAACATTTTTTGAAGAAAAACACAATATACAAAATAGACAATAGATGGTATTTGTGTGTACAGGTGTGTTATGTACAAATGCAAGGAAATGTAAATAAGAGGTATAGTGTGTGATTCGCTCAGCAGCCCGGACTATCTGCTGCAATCTTCTAAGGTCTGATTTGGTAGCTGAGCTGAACCAGACAGTTATAGAAGTGCAGAGGATGGATTCAATGACTGCAGAGTAGAACTGTATCAGCAGATCCTGTAGCAGGTTGAACTTCCTCAGCTGGTGAAGGAAGTACAGCCTCTGCTGGGCCTCAGTCTATGTGGAACTCCCACTTCAGGTCCTGAGAGATGGTGGTGCCCAGTAACCTGAATAACTCCACTGTTGCTACAGTGCTGTTCATGATGGTGAGTGGGGGGAGTGTGGAGTCGTCTACAAACTTCAGGAGCTTGACAGAGGGGTCCTTTGCAGTGCAGTTGTTGGTGTAGAGGGAGAAGAGCAGTGGGGAGAGAACACAACCCTGGGGGGGCACCAGTGCTGATCGTACGGGTGCTGGATGAGAATTTTCCCATCCTCACTAGCTGCTGGTGATCCACTGACAGATGGAGGTGGGAACAGAGAGCTGGGTTAATTTGGACTGGATTATTGCATTGTTCAAAAGCCATGCTACCTCTTGCTATATGCTGTTAAAATGAAAATTATTATTATTATCTTTTTTAAATATATCCCTTTTGTCTGTGGTCAATGTAAGCTTTCACTCTATGGAAAAGATCAGTCTGAACATTCTTCAAAATATTTCCTTTCCTGCCCCATGGGAAAAAGTGTTTGAAATGACAAGGAGGCGAGTAAATGTTGACATAATTTAAAGTTTGTTGTGAACTACCCTTTTTAAATGTGTCTGTACAGTATATCTCAATGAGTCCCAACAGTAAAAATTGCCGTTTTAATCTTTAATTGTTTGTAAGTTGTTGATGTCTCATTTGTGTTTCGATCAAGAACAATCAATCTTTCACCTGCATGAATCTGTCTTCCTCTGCATGCTGTCCACGACTATTTTAAGACATCCTTATTCTGCCACTTTTATTCCCTGCAGTGGCAGACGAATGCCACTTCCTACTCATTGAGCTAATCGAGTACTTGTGAGCTTCGCTTCATTCTATAAACACTGCTTCCTTCAGAAACCAGCTACTAATGTTTAAAGCTTTGTGGTTGATAAATATTTTATGAACGATTTTACAAAGAATTTGATTTAAAGGATTATTAAAGTTTTTCTGTAATTTCTGTAACTTTTTAACATCATATTCTAACTCTGAATTGTTTTAAACACTTCTTGTGGAAAGCTTTGGGGTTTTCTCAACTCTTTGTGTGTTCGGTTCTCAGCGGAGATCTCCAAGATGTGTGAGGTGGATGTTTCGTCTGAGCCCACCAGCCCGACGCTGTATAGAGAGTCTTCTGATACATACTGCCATGTGGACCGCTGGCAGAGGCTACGCACAGCTGTCCGCAAGCTAGAATTCTGGGAGAACTTCACACATGAGCTGATTGGCAGTGGCTTCTTCTCAAAAGTTTACAAGGTAACACTCAAAATGTCTTGAATCTGATGACTTGAATTTGTAAGTGATAATATCCAAATATGCAGTTAATAATATATGTACAGTAAGTGCTAAGAAATTGACAGATTTTTCTCCTTGGTGCTTTAACACATTGGCTGTTTGAAAATGTTCTCACAACAAATAAAGCAGTGTAAAATGTTGACTTCATATGTGCATATTGATTTATTTTGTTACTTTCACAATAAATATTTTATTAAATAATATTTTTGCATAATTATATCATAAAAGTTTTATAGTAAAATGATCATATATATAAAAAAAAATTAAGCAGTGTGATAAATTCAGTCTAAATGGAAATGGCTTTTCATCATCCTATTGTTCTGTAAAAGGTCTACCAGTGTGTGGTGTATGTGTGTGTGTCTGAAATCTTAATGGCACTCATACAGTGCAGTATTGTAGTCCTACTAATTAGGACATATTTTACTGCTAAGCCCGATTGAGGTGGCCCTTGTGCCATAGTACACCCATTAATGGGCTCCTGGTGAGTCCCTGCTGTGTAAATTACATAACTGATGATTGCAGCTCAACCATCCCAGCAGTTCAGCAAGCACTTTTTTATGTGATTGTACTTTAGAGAGAGAAAGGGATGTTTTAATATCACTTTAGGATTCATTCCCTTCTTCTCTATTCCGTTTTCATTTTATTGTAATTTTATTTGATTTATTTTCAGGTAATCCACAATACCACACGGAAGGTGATGGTAGTAAAGATCTATAAGAATGATGTTGATCAGGACAGCATTGTACGAGAAATCAGCCTTCTGCAGAAACTCTCACACCCCAACATAGTGAGGTAACTCACTCATTAATGCTACATAATAACTTGCCATATACTGTAACTCATTTTAACTTATTTTGTTTTTATTTATTATTTTTATTGTTTATTTGTCATATATTTATATTATTTAATAGGTATCTAAACTCCCTTATCTAAATGCCTAATAGATGTGCAGGCCTATTTACACATTCCATTCTCATGAAGGCTTATATGTATACTCTGTAGTTACACTACCAGTCAAAAGTTTGGACACAGCAGACTGAATCTGTTATCTTCGAAACCTTTTAATCTAAAGCATTTTCTTTTAAGGTTTGCAATTAGTTTCAGTTTCTCTGCAAAACTTTTTTTTTGTTGTTGTTCATTGATATTAGTGAATTTGATCACAGAATTGTCTGATAGTGTTTAAAATGTATCCCAGGATGCACCTCATGAAACTGGTTAAGTGAATACCTGGAGTGCGCAGTGCTGCAATCTAGACAAATAGAGGCTACTTTGAAGAAGATAAAATATAAGATATTTAAAAAATAAAAATAAAAATTTCTTGGTCATTTCCAAACTTCCATTTGTGTTATTTCAGAGGTTTTTGCCCTTACTAGTATTCAAAAACAGTTAAACAGTAATAATGAAGAATGAGTATAATGGGTTTCCAAATGCCTGTAGAGATGTACATACTAGATTTGGATGGATCCTGACAAGACTGTTATAGGTTACAAGTCACACTAAGCCCTGTCCAGCACAGAGCTCTTATACTGCTGTTAATCTTGCACTATGACATGTGTTTGTCTAAGCAGTCTCAGAATGGCTTTTTTTCCAGTGTGTTATGGAAGGACAAAGTCATATTCAAAATTGCCTGTGCAGTGTTAATTTATCAAAACTTTCCAGTTACTGCCAGCTGTCATCACCCCATTACAGATGATACTCATGTTAACCCATGAACAGAACTGATGAATGTGACAGAAACCACATGAGGTCACCATGACACAGTGACCTATTACGTTTACCCATATTCACTGCTTCACTAATTCATGGTCCTCTAATATTATGTTAGTTCAAATAATATGTTAGTTAAACAAGTGAAAGCCTGAACATCATCTGAACATCAAATTTGCATAACTTTCAATTTCTGCTCAATTGCTGTGCATTTGACAAATGACGGGCTTTGGACTGTATTTAGGCCGATTTAGGGAACGGCTCATAACCTCCCACATCTCTTTTTCCAGGTATCTGGGTATTTGTGTCAAAGAGGACAAGTTGTACCCAATTCTGGAGGTGAGCTCTCCATTTTCTCAACCTCAAAATCAAAAGGTTTTTTTTTCTGCAATTTGAGTTTATTTTATGCATTAGATTGTAATATTGTACAAGTAGATTTTTGAAATATCATATTGATGTGACGTTTTGAAACCGTACATTTGATGGGCTCAACAATAAGGATTTTTCTGCTTTTCTTTTAAGATGTTTTATACGTGTCAGAAAATATTTATATTTTATGTTTTGCAAAAGATAAACAATTTACTACCAATAAATAATTACACGTTCGATATATATATATGAATTCAACTGCCTAAAATCAGTAGTAGAAATGAGTAATACATTTAAAAACATCTGTGTTTCATCTGCCAAGAGGTGAACAATGAGCTTATACCAGTATTATGTTTTTATTTTATTTATTTTTTGTAACACTTTACAATAAGTTTTCCTTTGTTAACATTAGTTAACTACATTAGTTAACATAAACTGACCATAAATAATAACTCTACAGCATTTATTAATATTAGCCAATGTTCATTTCAACATTTGCTAATTCATTATTAAAATCAAAAAAGTTAACATTAGTTAATGCATTGTGAACTAACATGAACAATTATATTTTCAGTAACATTAACAAAGATTAATAAATGCTTTATTATATATTGCTAATTGTATCTTATCTAATGCATTTACTAATGTTAACAAATGGGACCATATTGTAAAGTATTTTTATTTTATTTTATTTGCCCCAGAGAGATCCTTATTGCTGAGCCCTGCACCGAACAATAACAATAAAAGTGAAAGTGTATGTTTGTTTCTTTCTCTCACGGACTGTGTTTGTCTGGACAGTATGTAAGTGGAGGATGTTTAGAGGAGCTGTTGGCCAGGAAAGATGTGCCTCTATGCTGGAGGGAGAAAGTAGACCTGGCCTCTGACATCACCAGAGGGATGATTTACCTCCACTACAAGAACATCTACCACAGAGATCTGAACTCTAAGGTACAGCAGGACTCTCAATCACACTCGTCTTTTGTGACCAACCGAGTAACACTTCGAGAAGTGCAGTGTAAAATGGTTTATATACAGTTCCTCTGAGCAATCATCAGATATTAGACAATGGTTGTTTAGTCTTTACGTGGAATTCTCCCCTGAGAAATACAGACATAGATGCTTGCGTGAGAGTGTCATTGGTTGCCAGGATTCACACAAGTGCTCACCAAACCTGGGCTGAAGGGCTAGGCAACAAGGCCAGTCCATTGTGATGCAAATAAACTCTCCCACTCTGTCTTTCTCTGTCTGTCACATACACACACTCTCTCCCCAACCCTTCCCATCTCATTTGAAAATGCAAAATGCACAAACAGTGTATAGGCTCGCAGATCCTATACCCCCCCTTTTAGTTTTTAGCCAGGCCTCGTCTCTGTGCCACTGCCTATTTGTCAGCCATTCAGATATGAACAATGAGCAAACAAAAAAGGTCAGCCACACTATTTACACAACCATGACGTTGAGCACATCGGTTAGGGGGACCATCGATTGGTTTCCACTGTGCTGCAAGTTAGCATTTATCATAGAAGTTAGTATGAATGTGGGAAGTTGTGTCAGAAAATAGAAGCTATTAAAGTTGATTGTTTTAAGTACTAATATTTGGAACATTAATTTAGAGGGGGTTAAAGGGTTCATACATGCGCTGAATGGCATAAAGTGTCACAGATCTAAGATCTTCTACGATACGATCAAAACATTTAATGTATGTTTATCTGAAATCAACAGTCTAAAATCTGTAAAAAAAAAAAAAAAAAAGTATATATTTCATTATGGTTTGTCAACAGCAGTGTTATTTTAATATCATTCGAGATACTATTATAGTTTTTATAAATTTTTTGAATCCGTTTTTATATGTGTTTTCATAGTCATTGTAGTACATTAGGTTAAACTAAATTGAATTAAATTGAGAAATGGTGCCTTGGCATGTAGCCGATATGTATATGCATGTATCTTATGTTATAATAATCATATATAATTGCTAGAAATAAATGGTTAAAATTATTATAATTTTATGAATATTTTTCCCCATTGATTTTTTTTCTCCCCTCATACTGAATCAGGCTCTTTGTGACTTCTAAATGTGCCAGAACGTAGGCTACAACGGAAAATATGAATGCGTTGCCATTAAAACAACCTCAGTGCTTTTTTTTTTTTTTTTTTTTAAACCCACCCATTAGCTGCACAGCCAGAGGGTGTTGCAACACTTGACATATGCACGAGTTACTGTTCTAAATTTGGAGCCTTCTAGGCTCAGGGCTGTGCTTGGAGTTTTCTTAGTCCTATAATCATAGGTCAGTTTTTGGGATGGAGGCTTAGCTGAGGTTTCGAATTCAATCCAGATGAAGAACTCAACTTACTGTTGTATCCATCAGCACTTTTTGCTCCAAGAGTCCCACTGGTCTTATGTAACGTCTCGGTTGTACCTGGATTCCCCCTACTCTGGTCAGCCTCAGTGTCTCCTCATTTGCCTTTCTTCTAAAATAACAGACCATTTTTATTACACCCTCAATAATTTTACTTTAAACTGAATTTTAAGACTGAATGGTATGTTTCTAGCCGTGACACGTCATCACTAGAGACCATTCAAACTGAAAGCGAGGTATAACATTGCATATTGATACCCCTGGGTTGATAGAGATGGAGGAGAGGAATTGTAGGCGGTACAGGGTCAGCTGAATAATTCATTAAACGGAGATGGTGATGACGTGAAACGTCTTTCATTTGAGCCTGGGAGTTCTGCTTCATCCGCCAGGCACATAGTCTCAGAAGGCACATTACAGACATGCTACAGATACTAAACCATAAAATGGCAGTCATGTATCTTATTTATGCTTGTATGTATCATTTGTCTTTCTGTGTTGAATTTAGATGCCATTAAGCTTATTTCCACAGTTTACATTCACACAAAAAGTCCACAAACAAGTCAGTCAGCACAGCTTCAAACTTTAGTGGTTCGTTTAGTTAGAAACTCTAATGTAATTGTCTGTCATATGGAGGTGTTATTTGGTACTAGACAATGCATTCAAATTTCGAAAATGGTATGTAAGAGTTTTTGTGGGAGATTGTAATGAGTTTAGAAACTTTCTGCTAGTTTATGCCTCCCCCTTCTGGTAGTGAAGAAAAGCACATTCACTTAAAATAATGCTGTAACTCAAGATGCTTGTGTGAAAATGTATAATGCAATATTGTTTTAATGTCTATATCTGATATATTTTAATTATGTGACCACATTATTTAAAAAGGAAGTTAAGATTAATTCATAACATGCAATTATTTATTAGTGAAAATAAAGCTACATAAACAGTACTGTTTAAAGGTTTGAGGTCAGTTAGATTTTTTTTTTATTCATTAAGGATGCATTAAAATGTAAAAAAAAAAAAAAAAAGTAATGGCTGTATTAATATTTCACAATATTACTGTTTTTACTCTATTTTACCGTATTATACTGAGACTTAACTAATAGTAATAGTGCACAGAAACTAAAAATACTTATTTTGCATCTAAACATCTTTGTGTATGTTTGTGTCTCCCAAAGAACTGTCTAATAAGGGTGACAGCGAGAGGCAGAGAAGCTCTGGTCACTGATTTTGGTTTGGCTCGAGAGGTGGTTGAACTTCCTGCAAAGGACAGAAAGCTTTCACTTGTGGGTTCTGCTTTCTGGATGGCCCCCGAGATGCTGCGTGGGGAGCCATACGACCGCAAGGTAACTACTCTTATGAATGCGACTGTGGTCTTATGAACGCGATGTTCTAAAGCATTTTCTAGTTCTCACCTACTGATTTTGCTTTATGTAACGTTAGGTGGATGTGTTCTCTTTTGGAATAGTTTTGTGTGAAATTCTGGCTAGGGTCCCAGCAGACCCAGAAATCCTTCCAAGAACACAGGTGAATATAAATAGAATTATTGACGCTTTTGAAGTGCCAGAAAATATAACATGCAGTATCAAATGAGCGTATACTTTAAAAAATATATAAATATATATATACTGTTCCTGTATGCATTTATGATTGTGGGTGTTGCAGGACTATGGCCTGGACGTGTCAGCATTCAGGAAAATGGTCAATGATTGTCCTCAGCGTCTTTTGGAGCTGGCAGCCAGCTGCTGTCTGGTAAGTGACCTTGTTACCTTTAGTGTATATGAATTGGACACACATTTCCTCTGTCAGTTATGCCTAAAAACTAACAAACCCTTTGGAAAAGGAAGTCATGTGTTACCATTGACTTTTGTTGTTTCTCATGCAGATAGAGGCTTTCCGAAGACCCTCTTTCACAGAGCTTCAAGACGAGCTGGGTGAAATCGCTGAGACTTTGGAGTGTCTTCACAATGATCTCACCACAGGCTGATCTGCGGCACATCCTCTGGTCTCTCATCAGCCCTGCAAATGGACACAAGCAGCTGGAGTTCTGTACATAGACTTTAGCACAATGACAAATGCAACAGAACTGCAGATTTATCTCTGGGCTGTTTGCATTGAAAGTGCAAAATAAGGAAAAGGTCGGTATTTACTTTCTGCAAGTAACTAAATGGCCTACAATTCAACTCCGCACAGCTGTACATTGTATATACTGTGCAATATATAGTAATAGTCTACCAAGAGAAATGCAGTGTCATAATTTCAAACCTACTGCTATTTCGGTTTTGTAGATGAATCATTTTATATTGAAAAACAACGCTAAAATAGGTTTTGAGGTTTAGATAACCATTGATAAAAGGACTAACTTGAGGGTCACAGGTTTTAAGTAATCAAATGATGTTTTCATAGGGTTCAGTATATCGATACTTGATTAAATTAAATTGTACAAGAGAAAGTAATTTATTTTGGTACCAGCTGCCCAAATAGTAAAAAGTGCTTTTGTATTGCTGACTTTTTTTGAAAAGCGACATATTTGAAAGTACTTTGCTTTTCAAATATAGAAATTGATACACAAGCAAGCACTCGTTACTTGTGGTTTTGCCTCCACTCTGAGCTGAGCTGCTGATTTTTGGAAATTCTCCATAAGACCCAGCAGCCACCACAGGATGAGGCCATTTCCTACCTTCAAGGGCCTTGGTGTTGCCGCTGCAGTTTTATAGTGCTCTCATTGTGCCGAGTGTTTGTGAAACCTTCTAATTTTTCTCTTCAACATCAAAACAAAACAAAGCTTAAATGTTCATGGTCATAATGGCTGAATAAGAATAAGAAACGTGAGATTAAATGTTTTCAAGACCATCCAGCTGTAGTATTATTTACAAATCAGAAAACTTGTGCATTTTGATGAACACAGCAAAAACGATATTTCTAGCCAATTTCAAATGCATAACTTGACACTGTTGATTTGTACGTGTTCATATTTTTTTCTTGGTATTTGTGTTTTTAATATTTATATATAACAGATGCTTAGCTGTTAAAGTTTTTAAATCATCAGTTTCGATGCCTGTGAATTGCCTCCTGAACATCATTCAAGTTAACTTGAACAAAATCTACATTCTGTGCCTCAGAGGAAGCTCGAGAATCTTGTGGTGAGAAGTGTCACGCTAATCTCATATTTCTGAAACCGTCTGTATAGTTTGAATCTTTCTGTGGTTTGTAGTGTTTTTGTAATACAGTACATGACATAAAAAGAGGAAAGGAAGCATATGTGAATGGTGTGTATTTTTCAAATAAAGCCATTGAAAATCTACTGGTCTTGTCTTAAAAATATAGTTCTTTGCACAGGAGCTGCACTATTAGCATCAGGATTTTATAAAAACAAACCTGAAAAGTTTCCTTAAAGGACTGTATAAACGTGATGAACTGTCCCTTTCTCTGCTTGATAGAAGTTGATGTATGGTAAGAAACATTTGTGTAACTATCATATATTAAAATGCGCTTTACTTTCATGTCTGGTTACCTGGCAACTTTGTAGACTCTTAAGATACCCAATGCTAATCGGGCTTCTTTGTGGTGTCTGCTATCAAACCACTCAATGACAAACAGTGCATCATGGGATTAATCTCTTTATGTGATCCTGGGCTATTGAATTAATGACTCGGGTGACGGGCCTAAAACTTTATCTACATCGGATTAAACAAACCTGAGAGTTTGAACAGACTCGATAATGGAAATGTCTTGAGTAATTTTCAGAGCTCTGCACAGTCTTGATTTCTTAAGTTCCTTTAGAAATCACTCGGTTTGAATGTCGTATCATTGCCTGTTTTCTCTAAGACATCAATTTTATACACCCCTCATTTTGTCCTTGCTTGGCCTGAAAACAACATGCCACAATTTAACTGGTGCTTTTGGTGTTTATACAATGGCCTGTTTGTTTCCAGCTGTACCAAAACACTGAAAAGATGTTAAGGAATAATTAAACACTGGCTTTTCTTCCGGTGGGCTTTAAAGCAGAGCAAGTCTGTTGCTGTACAGAGCAAAGGCACCGGTTGAGCGGCAGATGCTTTATTAGCTTCATGTTTTATCAAGATTTATAGCAGTGAGGGAGCAAAACTCCATATTTGAATGTTTTTAATCCTATGATTTACGGGCATAGGTGACTGGAATATTAAAATTAACATTAAAAGATCAGATTTGGATGAAGTTTATTTCTGTTTTCTGGATGTCCATCCTGTGCCTGTTTTTCTGCCAAGCTCGTTCATTTGTGTTAGTTTCTATTGGCTGAATCTACTACTATGTGACCATTACACACCGAACCATCCTGAGCAGTCAAGAGATGCATACTGTTCCTTCTCCACAGAACACAATCCCATAATGCACTGCAACAAGCTCTGTGGGGGGGGGAATACAAAAATAAAAATCACCCACGCACATGGTGTTGACACCTTTGTAAAGTGTTCCAAATCAGACACTTATGAGGTTCAAAATTAGAAGAGATCTTCTCATAACTGAAACCCTTTTGCCGAAAACAGTAGTGACGCAATCGGTCCATTAGATGGCAGTGTCTGATATGATTCACACTTACCTGCACTGAATTCACTATTTTGTTGCCGTGACACGCTTGTCACAGAAGCAAAACGTTCACTTTCATTAAAAAAAAAAAGAAAGAGAAAAAAAAGTGATATTCATTTTGTTATAAAATAATTCACTTCTTATTTGCTTGTGTGTGGAAAAAAGTTTGGGGTCAGTAAGATTTTTTAGGAAATTAATACTTTTTTCTGCAATGACACATTCACATTCTCATCATCCTTATGGCACTATAATTATTGATCTGTTCTGTTATTGATAACTGATCATATCTTTGTTATTAATCAGTTACCATTAACAATTACCATTTTAAATTAAATTACATGCAAGTAGAAGGCTTAATGAACCTCACCACTTACTTTAGCAGACAACATGTGCAAGTCCAAATCTTTCATATGGGACACACTCACACATTCCCCAAAACGTCGTAAGACCTTAAGGAACAGAAGGTAATAATCAAGCATTTTATGAGACATCGTCCCCTCAGCACCGTCAAGTCTGGCTGCTCATCATCTATGGGTTTAATGTTGTGTGTCCACCTGGAGTTATAGCAGTTTGATGTTCGTTCAGCCCTGCTGTCTCTGACCTTCATACAACCCCCCATCTGAACAAACACATCTACCACGATCCTCTGTGGGGTTCATGCGCTTCCCACAGCCTATTATGAGAGTCATGATCGATGGAAACCATTCAAATATCAGCGCTCCTGCCATAAGGTGCATAACACAAACAGATGGAATAAATATCCTTTTAAGGCACCACAGAGAATAGTTTGTGGGTTATGAGTAATACACACTTTAATATCCTACAATTGGTTTATTGAGCTCGGAAGTGGTTTCATGAGCCATAGTATTACTGCTTTAGCAAGCTGCAGCTATACGTGACCCTCTCTGTGAAATCCAGGCTAAAGTCTCAATCTAATTATGAGATGACAAGCATCAAAGTTTGATTTCAACCATTAATTTCACTATGATTTCAATCTTTGACATGGTCTTACTCATTAATAAGGCATCAAATGTTACATTTTCACAGAATGTTATTTACCTTATGAAGGATGATTTTATATAGAAAAAAAGTAAAAAAAACAAAAATTCACCAAAAAATGACTTTAGCTGGGTTTTCACAGACAGGGTCACATATTCTCAGCAGAATAAAAATTAATTTATATGGCTAATGGAGTGAGAAATTTAGAAAAGGGGAGGTGACCAAAGGACAGGTCACATTAGAAGCAACAACTTTGAAGAAGTTTACCACACATCACTGATATACTAGCATCATATACAATAGGAGTCAACAGTACTTGAAGCCACGGTGTGCTTTTGCAAAATATGACTTCAGATATAAACTTTCACATAAAAAAAAAAAAAAAAAAAAAAAAAAAAAAAAAATCTGTCATCTGCCATTAATTGTGGCCTGTGTGTCTTTCAGATGATTTTCTAAAGTGTTCTTCAGGAGGTAATCAGAAGAAACTTTCAACTGAAAATTAATGAACGAGGACCAAAACTACATCAAACCCTTTGAGTTTCATTGTATGGACAAAGAACATTGAGACATTTTTCAAACTGTTTTTTGACAGGTCTTGTTTCAGAAACTAAGGGGGGAAACGCGCCAGGTTCCGAAACAACAGGCCAGGTGTGAAAGCACCCTAAGATTTTAAATATCTTTGCTGTCACTTCTGATCAATTTAATGCATGCATTCTGAATAAAAGCAAAAAAAACTTTTCAAAAAAAAAAAAAAAAAAAAAAAAGTAATTGAGTAGAGTAATATAATCCATTAGGCTAATAGGAATGTGAAACAAAAAGAACTTATGGAACCATTTTATCATTATGAGACATGTTTACAGAAGCTATAAAGAGTAGTAAAAATTATCTGCATGAGTGTTCACTACATATTATAATGAATATTTCACGAAAAAGCTGAAACTGACAAATCTGCTCTAGCGTGATTGGCTCGCTTTATGCAACGTTTGGGAGTTATCATTTTTTTTACCATTCTACCTGAAAACCAAGTAGTGTTTAAAATGTAAAAGGTAAATATTGACTGGATTTGCTCAAATATGACACCGTGTCATTATTTTTTTCTGAACTGTTGACACTGCAACATCTTATTTTTATTAATTATAAATTTTATTAATATTTTACATTAAAATATTGCAAATATTTACACATGTATTCTATGTCTATTATGATGCACATATTCAAGATAAACCAGTCATTAAACATAACATATGTAAAAACAAAACAAACCCTGGTTGGTGCATGTTGGTCAAATCAGAAATCTCTTTCTGTCTAAGAGGACAAATATTGGCCAGAATAAGCTGCATATGGATGAGATCTCATTCTGTAGTCAGAAGCTTGGCGAGCGAGACTAGCATCAGTATAACCCAGTTTTCATTTCCATTAGGAATACGTTTCGCTTTCCAATGGTCTTCTGTTCGGAAAACATCATCCTTACTTAACAAATTGTGCAATTTGTATTCTCAAGCCCCTGGGAAAAGATTAATTTGTTCACTTAAAATTGACCTCTAATTTGCTGACCACATAAAGTGGAGGTCTCATTGCGTCGCTGGACCTCCACGAACGGTAATTTGTTTTCCAGGAAGGGTTGGCACTTTATGTGGGTGTAAATGGGGCTGTGCATTATTGTTGTTCTCTGTAATTGAAGTGCTGAAATGACAGATGATTTACAGATTTGCCAATAGCAGGATGAAAGCTGGCCAGTCACAGCGTAGCATGCTGGTCTCAATGACAGGGTCATTTGTTAGCCGGTGACTACTGGACTCGTGAACAACGTGGGTTAATGCTTCAGACTGATTTAAGGAGAAACCGTTGTCAGATCTTTAAAAGTTAGCTTATATTATACTCATACTCTAGACTACACTCACACCAATTTCATATAAACATAACAGCTTTTTCATGACATCCCAACATGCATAAACACTAAATTATGCAATGCAACCTTGCCCCAGAAAAGCTTTTAATAAGTTGCGGGCAGTTATTTGTAGTCCTGTGATCAATACTAATCTGAGCGAGAGCGAGAGTGAGAATTAAATGCTCTTTATTACAAATTCACAAAAACAGTTTACAAAATATAAAACATCACATAGAAAAAGCTCCTGGATTTACAAAGCAATGTATTAAGTCCAGGAAAATTGTGGTCAACAGTGGAAATATCCAATCGGGCCCCATGTACTATAGGTTCATTTAGCAACCAAAAAAGTGATTCCATATATGGTGTCCTTTGAAGATTAAAAAGACTCCATACTTTAAAAAGATTGCGATAAAAAATTGGCATTCTGAGAGTATCCAGTTCCAGAGGGTCTAACAAGAAAAGAGATTTGTCCATCTGTAGGCCTCCGAGACTCCGTAAAATAACACATGCAGCAGCGCTCCAACCAAAGTCACTCGATCCCAAAAGAAGTCTTTGTATAAACTGCAACCGAAAAGCTGCTGTTCTGCTTTGCAAGTTTATTAGCCCTTGTCCACCTTCTTCTTTAGACAGGAATAAGATGCTCCGAGTAATCCAGTGTAATTTATCCCAAAAAAAGTCCACTAATAAAGCTTGTATTTCAGTCATCAGATTTAAAGGTGGATCTATACAGGCCAGTTTATGCCAGAGAGAGGATGCAATCAAGTTGT